ATCTTATTCTGGCTCAGGGATACATTGGAAGACTTTCAATTGTGAATGTTGTTTGGCACGTTGTTATTGGGGGTTTTAGTTTGTCATGGCAATGGAGAGGAGTAAGGTCAATAAGCTTTTACAATGGGGACACTATCAGACTGTTTTCGATCTGTGATGCTTACTGTTACGTCGTCTGTCTGCTTTGGGCAATTTTGTCGACGTTTAGAAGTCAAAAATTGTTTTTCGAGTGTTGTGATTATTCATTTTTACTTGCGTATGAGTGTGAATTTATATAGTATGTTATAGTAAAGTATTAGACAGAGCCTTTGAACTCCAACTTTTCACTTTGGGATCCATGATGTTAGGGACAGTTTTAAAGCTAAAGTTAACTATTTTTAAAGGGATTATTTAAAAAAGTATTTATCTGATTAGGTTTACTGAGTAAAAGTCAGAACAATCCAGTTTTTTTTTATTCTGCAGGGTTATCCAGATATATCTCAGCCCTTCTTGGAATAGACCCCAGGAAAGTAGAACTACTGCAATTTGTAGGATACATTGGAGAAAGCGCAGCTTATTGTTGTACTGTAAGCTTTTTAAAAATTTTTTTGATTTCATCTGAAAGTTGATTTACTTTGTTGGCAGTTTTATAAATTCTCAGATAATTTCCCAGTGTGCCAGCAGCTTAATTTATTTTAGGCTGATAGATGAGTTCAGTATCATAACATCGCAGTGTGAGTGCCAGAATATCTCAGTAGCACTGGTGAAACATAATAAATTCCACACTTGCTTTGCTGGCTCAGTGTGTTTGTAGCTAAAACGTCTTTTTCATGCATTTATTATCCACTTCAGTTGCAAAGCTTAAACACATTAGCTGGACTGTGTGACACTGGGTGAGAGAGCATCATTCAGTATGATGTGAGAGAGCACCTCTTGCTGTCATCCCAAAACAAACAATGGAAGAAGCCTCGTCACAGGCTGACTAGCAGTGAGCATGTGACACAGAAATAGCATTCAGTCAGTCAGTGATTGAATCATTGATTGGCTGTTCATTGATTAGAGCTGAATGCTCATTTCCACTCTGGCCAACTGCATCTGAAACCAAGGACAGTTGGGCTTTAACATTACCACTGCTCATGTGTGAAAGTTTAAACCAATGAAAACATTTTAAAATAACTGATTGTGAAATATGACAATAACAGTGTAAAAAGCGCAAATTGACAACAATTACATATATATTCTATCATATTCATGCCATATAACTGGTCACAATCCATAAACTTAGCACCTCAACAGCTGTCTAATGTGGCTATTTCCTTTCTTTACATTATCACTATGTGGGTCATTTTACTTAAAAGCAAATGGGTTGTTTATTTTTACGTGACACCTTATGATATTGTACCACCTTCAGTATCTAGGCCAAGGTAGTCTCACCAGCAAGACCATCCCTCGTGAGTTAATCAGCTTATTTTTCTCTTCCACAATCTGGCCATCTTGAAAATCCTCCTCCAACTCATTCTGGCATCGTGTCTAATTAATTTATCTGCACATCATGTGTCTTGAACAGTTCAGCACAATCTGGTAGTTCAGTAAAGTGAACTTCATTCTCAACACTTTGCTGTGCAGTTGTCCTGGCTGGCGAGATAAGCCGTTCAGTCTTTGCCTGTAATGAGCATTTATACTAACTTGCCGTTTTTCTTTCAGAAGCTGGGTCGTGACCCCTCCGATGAAGACTGCTTCTTTGACCTCCTTAGTAAGTTCCAGAGCAGCCGCATGGATGACCAGCGCTGCCAACTTGATGAGTCACAGAACGGAGACAACGGAGAAGGTGCTGCCAACTCCGTGCCGTCCCTGAATGAGATGATAGGTTGGTTGACAACAGTATTCAGATGCCTATTTACTCCTTTACTGGTTATTTTAAGGACACCTGAACTCCTTTTTTAAATGGCAGCAATAGTATCAAATACATTTGCACTCACTGGGCGCTACTCTCTTCTCCTAGATCCTGCGATTACGACTTCCCCCCAGACCGAGGAGCTGTTTGATTTGATTGCTAGCTCTCAGAGCCGCCGTCTTGATGACCAGCGGGTTAATGTTGGTAACCTTCCAGGCCTGAGGATTACCCATAACAATCTGGGACACCTGGTGGGTGAGGGAGATCATCAAGAACCTAGCGATGACTTCTTCAACATGCTTATCAAGTGCCAGGTAAGGCTAGGATTCAGACATTAACTCAGGGATTTAATCTTCTTAGATTATTAGTATTATAGACAAAATACCAAGCATGGATTCAGTGGAGTTATGTCACATTTTCCTCTACACTCTAAATGTTTCATTTTTTCTGATGGCAGTCCTCTAGGATTGATGATCAGCGGTGCTCCCCACCAGAAGCAGGCCCCCATGCCCCCACAGTGCCTGACGAAGACTTCTTCAGTCTAATCCAGAGGGTGCAGGCCAAGCGTATGGATGAGCAGCGCGTCCAGCTGCCCACAGATGACCAGGACAGCCCTCAGTCCCCTGATCCAGAGCCACCTGGTAGTTTTTCCAGCTAGGACTCGGGGAAGAAATGCTCCACAAATTCATGTCAAAGAAAATAAATGCGGACAAAGTGTAAGAAGCATGAGCCAACATTTAAAGACAGCATTAAAAGGGTGAACTAACAAGATTTTTAATAACAAGACAAATTCAATGTGCAATAGGTGGTACCCTGTCAAATGTTGCTGGATGTGTTATGTTCTAAATGTGCTTAAAAGTAACAGGAAAAACAAGCAGAATTTAGGCTTGGTGGTGTGGCGGGGGGGGTGGGGGTGTTCGGGTGACATGATAACAACAAACATTAAATATTTACTCAAACTAATGCCTTAATCAGCAGTTTTTCAGACTCAAGATTGTAACCCCTGGTGTCAGATGTGTTTTTGTGTGAAGCACATGATGGGCATACAGTGCAATGTGGACAATTAGTGTGGAGACCTTAAGCACGAGTCGCTAAAATGACAAAGATTTAATGATAGAAACACAGTTGAAAACAGCAGAGAAATTACAGATTTGCACTGGAAACTTGAAGCAGTTTTATAAAGACATGATAGATAATGCATACACCAACTGTGTTCAGGTCAGTTTATGATCAATGCTGCTTTTATCATTGAATTTCTGTGGTTCCCATCGTTCATAGAAAGCTGGTGTTATTTGTGCAGTAACAGTATTAGGGATGTCCTTCCAGTGTTAAAGAAACTGCTTTGGTCAGTTTAAACTTCCCACCGATTGATAACCACACTTCATTTTCTCTTTCTTTTTTTTTCTGAAAATAATCTGATTCATCACAGTGAAATGAGTGAAATATAATTTTCCACATAAATGTTATTTATGTGCATTTATACAAAAATACACCTCTTTACACAGTGTGCAGTAACTGAGGTTACTGAGCAAATTATATGAAATAGCTGCTTATTTTATAGATTCAAGATTAGAGTTGTGTGTGATCATTCAAGCTCCAATTAATGTTTCTGCTTAGCTTTTAAAGAAATGCTATCTGCTGCCCATAATGTTCTCAACATCTGATAACAGACTACTGCTTACTGCTTGTGCTATTATTATTTCTTAACATAGAAATAGAAGCAGATGGATAAGATGGATGTGTCGTATTTTGAAAGATCTAATACCGTGAACAATATTGAAGCACTAATTCTAGGCTGTGCTGCTGGTGTGCTGCCTCCCTGTGGTCAAAACCATGTATTACATATGTGAAATATAGCGTGCAGTCAATTCCCTACCCTTGAACATTGTAATAATAATATTGCGTTACAGTGCAAGTATGATGATTCTGAGAACTTTCCTCTGGTTTCATCTAAAAAGATTAGCCAACTTATACCATAAATGTGGAGGTTTTTGAAAATAATCTTATTTGGTGTCATTTCATTTGTTGCTAGGTTCCAAAATCAGAGTTTGAAAAATGTTGCTGTACAGAACATCTGTATAATGGTACTGAACAAAAACTGACCTTACCTATGGGCTTGCTTTTTATTCAGAAGTAGTGCATACCTCATTTTTGTACCTCAAAGCTTATGAAACCAGGATGGATCATGTACCAAGTTCATTGGTACTTTTGATTCATCTATCTTTGATAAAACAACACATTGGGAGCTAAAGGTAATTTTTTTTTCTTCCGTTTTTTGTGAATTAACATTTTTAGAAAGTACGCTGGTATGCTTCTATTTGTCTCTGCCATAATTTGTACATATAAATATATTTTGTATTTATGTTCCATTTGAGGACATGAATATGTCCCCTCATGCTTTTAATAAAATGTTTCAGATGTTTCTATGGGCTCTGTTTTTATTTAGTTTTGGCGAAATAATAAATAGGGTAGCTTTTTGTAAAGTTTGCACACATCAATTCCACTTTTTAACCTAAAGAAAATAGCATGAGTAACACTGACCTCTACAGTGAGACCAAATCATCCCATTCAGTACACTAGAAAATTTGTTCTGGACTGGCTGAAAACAGCACAATAAATGGATTGGATTTCCCAAGCTCTAATCTTTGTTGGAACAAAGCACAAAGGGCTGACCAAATGTGTTGGCTAACTTCCAGTTTGGTTTGCATAATCAAGATGCAGTAGGAATGTTTTATTAAAACACAGATATTTATTCAGCTTCTGTTTTTCATTGAGAAATGAAACGCTTTCCAGGAACACATCTAAATTCACTTATAATAATACATTGTTCCAGTTTTATCACTTCTAATCATATGATTATGACACCTACACCTATGTCATGACATACTGTTTCCAGTTTCCAATATTGTACTCTAATAACTGGAACATAACATTTTGAATTTAAAAGAAGTCATCTGAACTAACGAGTTATAGTTGTGCATTCTTCCACAGCTCCCCTCCTGTCCCTCTGCCTCTAATTTCACCCCTGCCTCCTCCTGTCCATCATCCTTTCACTCCCTCCCTCACTCTCCACGTTCGTTCTTCCTCCCTCTTACCCAGAATGCAACGCAGGCTGAGCAGGCTCAGCTGAGCTATAAAAAGGCATAGCATGGGGGAGGGAGGGCTGCCGTGCAGCAGGAACTGTGCAGACACACACACACGGGGATCCAGGGACAGCAGCCCCCTTGCACTGGGAACTAGAGCCGCAGCACGAAAGAGAGGTCAGTACAGAGGACAAAGGCTCCATAGAGGAAGAGCGAGCATGAAATGACATGGAGTGGGTCTCACTTTGTCAGAGGGAGTGAGGAATAAAGAGATGTGGGCAGGCACAGTGGGCAGGGCTGTTTGATGGGATGGAGAGTGAGAATAACAGAGACTGTAATGATAAACTGTCACACTGTATAAAATGGTTGACACTGTCAGAAGAGCAGGCATTTCTGCATAGTGCAAAGGCATGCAGCTCTTGCATGTCATTCACAGTGAAGGCACTCAATGCATGTCATAATTGTTTTTCTAAAAAGATATGTACTGCCATTCATTATCTTTTCCTCCAGACGTTTGCTCTGACATTTCATTGCAGGTGGTTGGCCACTCTATAAGATTGTGTCTTCTACCTGCACCCATTAAAGGCCATTTTCATACCAGCTGTAGGCTTTTAACTCTAATGCTGTGCTTCTAGCCCTGGTAATGGTCATTAACAAGTGTTTAGGGCTGAGTACTATTGATTCTTGTGAGTAGATGGTGCACATTAAAGTGAGCCAAAGCTCGCAATTTGGAACACAGACACATTCAAAGCAGCCACAGCTCACACCAAAATAATCTTGCTCCATCCTTTGACAAACATCATGGAATATCTCCCACTGCACTGACGTCAAAGGGTCCCCTGTTCTTCCTTAAAGGGACAGTACGCTTAATTAATTTGCAGAGTGCCTTAGTAACCAGTGGCACACAGAGTGAATACACTAATAGATCAAGTGCTCAGTACTTTGTTTTCAGCCCTGTTGCTTCTAGGGGCAATCGGTGAAAGCTGCATCCCCATGTGCTTTTTGAGAATGGTCGACACGCTATCCCTTAACAGCTGCAGACAGACCAAGTCTTTTTTTAGCACGGCTGCGTGTTAAAAAATAGTAGTAAGACATGACGAGATAGACTAACAGGTGGGTGGAGGGGGTTCAAGGGTGTCTCCAGGTTCTCTAAAATACTTTTACATTCTGCATTAACAGTGTACTCAGTTGTACGGTTTACATTATAAATTTTAAAGAGAACCAATATGGACCCAATCCTAGAATATCTGTCACAGGGCTTTGTCCGCATAATGATAAAGTGCAATTCAAACATCTTGCCACATTTCCAGCACTGATACAGCCTCTGTTAGGGAAATATATTAATACAGTCACACTGCAGCAAAGTCATGTAAAGTTTCAGTGAACAGTAGGTTTTCATTCCATAATTCAATGCATTATTGAGTGCAATCCCCACACCGAGAGCCATGTAATGCAGTTTGCACTGTATTAGAACCTGTCTCATATGCCAAAAAAGCAGGGGACCCAGACGATGGCACCATAATAGGCCAGAGTGGGATTCCTAAACATGATCTGTGCTGACTCAGATGCCAGGCACCAAGTGACATTTACACAGGCCACAGGTTTAATGGCTGCTGACATAAAACTGGACACCTGAGAAGCACCACCACCAGTGCTGAAGAGTATTGCATGTGAGAATCAGAGAACAAGCTGGAAGTATGTGTAGCTTTGGTGTGTACCACGCTAAGATATATCTTTATGGTGAACCAGGAAACGTGTTTACATATCAACACAAACAATCTGGTGATTTGGAGATGTACAGTGTAGTATAACTATAGTTTTTCCCTCTGCTGCAGTCTAGCTACAATGAAATAACTCATATTTCCTTTCTAACACATCCCTACATTCCTTAAAGCTTATTTATCAATCTGGCACTATTGAATAGGAGGCATGGACCAGTGAGTAAACAGCCACTTTGTCACAAGGTCAAATTCTAGTCTTGTTAAATCTAATCAAATGTCACTGCTCCCATTTGTATTGCTCAGAAAAATATGCAGGCTATAGGATCTCCTATGAAGACTCTTCACAGAGAGACAAATTCAAATATATCTCATATTTACCTGTTTTGATTTATTCTTGGGTTTTTATGGTCTGTGTACATTAAATGTCCATGATTATACTCAACATTCAATACTGTACCTATAAAGTTATTTGTAATGATAATGTTTTTGGTGTGCATGTGATGTTCTTTTTCCCTGGTGACCATGCCAGGTTACTTGAAACCAACCCCACCATGCAACCTAAGAAATCAGCCCTTTGCCCTTTGCCCTTTATCACAAATCTGGTTTCACAGATCTCAGGTTACTTGATTACCATAGGGCACACGTGTGTGATGTAAGTAACCGGGTGACAAGTAACAAAACTGGAAAATGCTTAACTGTGTGGGATGGTGATTATCACTGTATATAATCCATGTACTGCAAATGTATAGGTGACATTAGGTGGCATTCTGACTCCAAATTAATAACAAACATGAGTGTGAAACAGCTTTATGGAAGATATGAAATTCATTTGAAATACATGCAAAATATAGCGCTGGATTTCTGTCAAGGCATCATCGAATATGGCCTATAGAGAACTTCTCTATAGTCAAAGCAAATGCAAAACAATTTGGTTATTTTGACATATGGCCACGCCTATGGAGCCAGATGTTAAAGTTATTTAAAGTCAGTTCTTTCATACACATCCATTCTCACGACACAGGCGAGCAGCTAGTTGATGGTATCTATTTACACATGCCAGCACTTGTGACTCCCTTGACCTCCTTCCTCATTATTCTGTCTTCTTTCTGAAAGTTAGCTAAAAGAGAAGTGTAAACAGGAAACCACACGTCTGTTGTCTTCTTTAGATATGTTTGCTACTGTTAATACAGAACTAAGAGTAATTTCCTGTCCAGTTGAAATGAGGGACTAGAATTGTTGTGGTCTTATCCTGAACTGGTTGTAAAAGACAAAAGCACATGCTGTAAAAGCTATTTAGTATTGTATAATTATATTATAATAAGTTGTTAAATCATACAAATTTTACATTACAAAAATTAAAAAAAAGCTATAGATGTTTTTATGTGTTTGTGAAAGTGAAGCGCAGCATTAGTTAAAAGGTCTAGAACTGAAGGGTAACCAATCTACAAAGAACAAGTTACTGCCAAAGAAGTGGGTTTCTTAACAGCAGAGTGTTGTATTCACAATATTCACTGTAGAAATATGTTTTAAATACAGCAATACTGATTCTCAGAATAGATACAACAGTTATGTAACAATTAAAGGAAACGCATTTTTGAAAATAATTGTATAATCTTGATTATGCTGCTTTAACAATATAAATAAGTAACTGTAAGTAACTGGGACACAAAATACACACTGTCAGTTTACCATACAGCAATGGACTCCCTAAATTAAGTGCAACCTACTAAAATTCTATTAGACATTCTGCCTTTTTCAAAATGCTGTACTGAACTTACTTTCCTGTGTCTTCTTTTTGTCTTTTAGTTGAAGGAAAACACTCATCAAACGCAACACAATGGCAGGTAAATAATATGTCATGTAACACCAATTGATTGTGATTAATAATGTTCAAAATGTTGATTTGTATTATTAAACTTATGAAGTAAAAATAAGTCAGAAGCTGACTTGTATTTCTTTAGACTCTACTGCCCTCTTTTGGTGATATTTGAGAATACAGAGACTACAGGGGAGGTCTTACATTTAACACTGATATGAATTAACTCTGCACTTAGATATGATACTCTATTTTTATTGAAAAAATAGATCATTATTATATTAAATTTAATTAACAACACTACATTGTAGTGTACAATATAATGATCATATGACTTAGCTGTACACATCACCATAAAATGCGATTATGAACAAGTCCAAATCTATTTTTTTCTTCTTTGCTCATTTGTTAGAGTTGTTACTCAGACTTTTGCTTTAGTTTCCTGTGAACAGTTATACCTGGCTACATGACATTATAAGGTGACAACAGTTGCCATGGCAACACTGTTTGAGTAATAGCACAAACCTCCACCAAAGCAAGCACAATCAAAACAGCATAGCGGACCAGGCGACACTATACCCTGCAACTAAAAAATGGGAAATACATGTACTGCTAATTCCACTGAATGCCAATTCTCCACATCTGCCTCTCAAGATGGTTTGTTAGAAATATCCTTTAATAGTTTTTAATAGTTATTAAAAACACACCTTGTACCTTGCATTTGTTAGAAGAATGCTTTGCCACTGACAACCTATTTTGTTCATGCTCATTTCAGACAAAATTAAAGATGCCAAGATCATCTTTGTTGTGGGTGAGTACAATTTTGTCTCATTTTGCACCACGCAACACTTTTTAATCACTAATTCCCCCTTGTGCTATAACAATGTTTTTTTTGTCTTTCTTTTTCAAGGTGGGCCTGGCTCTGGAAAGGGCACCCAGTGTGAGAAAATAGTTGCAAAGTATGGCTACACCCACCTGTCATCTGGAGATCTGCTCCGTGCTGAGGTGGCTTCTGGCTCTGAGAGGGGCAAACAGCTCCAGGCCATCATGCAGAAGGGAGAGCTTGTGCCCCTGGTAGGAGACTGATGTTTTTATCTTTTGCAACTTGTCCTTAAAAAACAATGATCATCATTTTTATACTTTTGCAATACCAGACAAAAATGGTGTTCTTACAATGCATACAATAGTTTACCAGTTTATTAGGTACACCTACACCATAGCTAAAACTAGCGCAGGCTATACAGCAACCCTGCCATAAATCCAGCCTTCATGAAGGCTATAATGTTCAGTTTTAAGGTAGGTAAGTTTTTTTTTAGTCTCCTAAAGAGGAGCTGATTCAACTTCATATATATTTTAGATGGTGGAACATGTGGGGCTGTAGAGCTGTATTGCATTATACAGAGCGGCCTTTGTGTTATTTATTTTACCATCATTGATGTTAATGGAGAGGACAAAATAACAGAAATGCCTGTCAGCATAATAAACTGACAGCTGAGTGTATTTTCTACTAGAAGGGCCACATCATTGTGAAGTTTGATCATAATGTTCAGGGTCTGCTTTCAGGACACCGTCTTGGACATGATTAAAGACGCAATGATCGCCAAGGCTGATGTCTCCAAGGGCTTCCTTATTGATGGCTACCCCCGTGAGGTCAAGCAGGGCGAGGAGTTTGAGAAGAAGGTAGGAGAGTGCATGAGATGTTGGTCTATAATTCATCCCCCACAACAATGGAAAAGCCTCAAGCAAATTCTCTTCCCAGATCGGCAAACCCTGCCTGCTGCTGTACGTTGACGCAAAAGGAGAGACCATGGTCAAGAGGCTTTTGAAGCGTGGTGAGACCAGCGGCCGTTCTGATGACAATGAGGAGACAATCAAGAAGCGCCTTGACTTGTATTACAAAGCAACTGAGCCAGTCATCGCCTTTTATGAGAGCCGTGGCATTGTCAGGAAGGTGTGTGTAACTGCTATGATGAAGAAAACTGAATATATATATATATATACATGTATTCTCACACATGGTGTCATCTTTCTCTGCCCAGGTTGACTCCGAGCTGCCAGTGGATGAGGTCTTCAGCCAAGTGGCCAAGGCTATTGATGCACTGTAGTAAAACAACATAACTGGATGAGCTGTTTCTGGTTGTTGTTGTTTTATTTATTTTTTTTATTTTCTCAGAATTCATTTTCATATGGACAAAACATGAACAACAACAGAAATAATTCCCTTCCCACTCATTTTGGTTAAAATACTAAAGGCCATTAAGCATCAAAGATGCCTTAACTCTCCTTCTACTCCAGCAATAGGAATTTATAGCTTTAAGCTCACAAAACAATGAATATGCTTAAAGCAGCGGCATCTGGAAACCCTTTTGTTTCTGTCTGTAAGTCTGACATCCATTCTGTGCTTAACATTTATGTGGATTTACCCAAGTCACATCTCAAAAGGTACTGTACACAGGAGGTGTCAAACATCTCCTGACCTTTAAGAAACTGTGCTCACTCTTGGGCAAACCTGCACTTTACACAATCGTTTTCCCCCTCTTTCAAACCTGCCATATAGAGTTCAGAGTTCGTGGAAAAATAATAGTCTCCTTTATGATTGTGCCATTGAGCAATGGCAGAGATCACCCACTGTGGACAAACTGGTGAAACTCTGCAAACATGTACATGTACATTGACTTCTGTATTACAACCACCATGGACTTCATACATTTGCAACTATATTTAAAGCACAGAAAGGTTCTATTTTTTTCATCAAGATGTACACTTTAAAGTGGTATATGTAACAAAAAGGAAATTAAAGTAATGAAAAACATAATATTTGAAATTAGTTTATTAGTGGTGACTGTGTTTGAGTATTTGAATGCAATCTATAATAATATAATTCAGTAATACATTGTGAGTAATCCAGGAAAACCAAATACACACACATAAATTAGGGACTAGGGATTCAAAGTTCAAAAAGGAAACGCTTTCCTATTCAGAAAACATGGTCAAGGTGCTGGAGAATGTAGACACAACAGGATACAGGACATGCTGCTGTAGCCATAGCTCACTACTGTTATTATAACTTCTCCTTTGAGCCTGTGATGACCAACAGGTCTTCCTTTACCTCTCACCTTCCTCTCACCGCATACACACACACACTCATCCAGCTGGCCAAGCAAACACTGCAACAGGTATCCGGACTACCCTCCAAGGAGAACTCTGATCATGACTCCACGCCATAGGGATGAGGAAGAGGAAAACGGCTTCTGAGAGGGGACAGGATGTGTTCATCGGAAAGTCAATCAAGAAGAGGCGTCTGTAAGCACTTTCATAAAGTCATTGAGGATGCTGCTTGAATGCTTGGAATGCTGCTCTTACTTCATAAAGGTACAAAACAAAGGGGAATAAAGGAGGTGGCAGTGGTATTTATCACGTACAGCAGGGAGAGAAAAAAAGAGACACATGTCTGTGAATGTGGGGGAGAGGGGGAAACTGAGTCCCGCACTTCAGGGATCACAGCCTCGGCTGACCCATTGTGAATCAAGTTCGAAGATGACCCCATGAACTCCCAAGTATTGAACATATGAACATTCAAAACAAGTGACAAATAACTTAAGGCCCTATGTGTAGAATTTGAACATTTCTGACCTCCTGTGGTGGTAAAGCAGACCTCATTTGGCTACACCATTTTCCAATCTACTATAAAATTGACGTCTCAAACCTTACCACATCTAGTCATCTAGCTTGTATGGGCAAATCTAAATAAGGCAGGGATGCAAAGACCCTACAAGGTATGAAAGGATATTAGTTTTTAGGTAAGACAAAAAAGCAGATGATCACTGCATTAACTTTTGGTAAAGGTATAATTACCATAATCGACCCATAAATTATATATTTTTTTTCATTTTCCACTCACCTGCAGAATTAATGGCCAGATCCTTAAAAAGGAGCTTAATGGCCATAGAAATGGCTTTGTAACTAAATCTGCAAATGTAGCCTTCTGTGTGAGGATTCCACCAAGGCAGATAAGATGAACCTAAGAATTGTATGCACGCTGTGTGTGCACTTACTGAAGCTGCGTAATTGTAAGGGGAGCGACGTGCAATCAGCTATGAATTATACTGTTGCATATGACAGCTTAAAAAAAGAAGAAAAAATCAATGCTTATCACAGCCTATATATATTCATACTGTATGGATATATGTGTGCATCAATACATTATACTTTCTGTTCTGTTGTCAGGCGACCTAACTAAAACTAAAAAAAGCTTATAGCCCAGAAATGAACAACACGAGTAGCTCATGATTTCCAAATAAAGGCTGGTGGGCTGAATGTAACCTGGTCGTGCAGTATTTCATGGGAATCATGTGGCCTACAGGTCAGTTGTCAAGGGTAACTGAGACCTTCACAGCTTTTTGAAATGATCCCCTTATTAGACTGTCACAGACAATTTCATGTGACTTTGTGACTCCAATGTAAAATGAACAAGGACCACTCACTTAAGTGAATCCTAACTGCAGTTCCAGCAAAAACCCTGAATTACTCAGAAGTGAGATATGATTTTTCAAATGGGATGTTTCTATAATGAAGGTCTTGTCAATTGGCTGCATTGTGGGATTGTAGATGTACATTCAATGACTTTGTGAGGCTGACAGGCTTCTGTTCATCTAGTATCAGTCTCGGATATGACCGCTACAAGGCCATGCGTCAGATCCCCCCTTAGAGGACGATAAGGAAACTAGAAAGCTGGCGCATATACTTGATTCTCTCTCTCTCTCTCTCTCTCTCTCTCTCTCTCTCTCTCTCTCTCTCTCCTATGCTGTGTACTGTGGCGGACGGGCTGGCTGGCACCACAGAGACCCAGTGGCACCGTGCGGGAACCAGCGTCAACCTGTGATGAAAGACGATGGCCGATTGTTTCCTGTTATTGAAACATTACTCATGGGTGGGGGTGGAGAGTTGGGGGTAGGCTCCAATAAAAAGGAAAGCCATTGAAGGAGAGTGCTACTGTAGAAGTGTCCTTTGGCCAGCCTCAGATGTGATGGACTGCTGTAAATGAATGCCAACTGTGACATATGCCTTTTAAATCCTAGTCATGTCAACTACTAGAGGATTGCAATCATTTAAGTAACTCAGGGTACAAGTTGAGTAAAATTGTCTGTACTTAGTGAAGGATCCCATGTGCATTTCTTTGTTCATGCTGCCTGAAAGAATGAGGTCAAGGCAAGTTCACAGAGCCAATGAGCAGAATATCAACTAGTCTCAGAAAACAAGGCTCTGTGTACTACTGTTTTTAATGCACTGTGGGAATTTAGCACTCTAACATGTCAATTAGTCCAATTAATCATTAAGCACTTGTGATCTGCAATCATGGATTAACTAGATTAGACCTTTTGAGAGTCTACAGTTCAAGTGAAAATTATGCTAAATTTTAAATTATTGAAGCAAATTACGCTGGGCAGTATAGTGGTAATGCCAGTAAAGAGTTCAAATCAGAGCAATCACACTAGCTGTGGCAAGCTTTCACACTGCTTTGCAAGGCCTATGCTGTCATCTTCGAGACTTGTATTTAGCATATTTGTGCGTGCCTGCACTAAATCTGTGACCAGCTGTTTTTGTTATGTCTTGTAACTGCATTTTGTTCCTGTGATGTGCAGTTGCAGTATGTTCCTAAATAACAAAGTCCATATCAGAAAGGAGATAAGCTTCATTTCAAACACTCCTTTCAACTTTTGTTGTTTGTTTTGTTGTATTTAATATTACATTTTTTTCCCGAAAATTGCTTGACCGGCTTTTCTCACCAAAGAGTGAATGGAAGAGGATAAAGCTTGTTTGCGCTCTCCTGTAATTTTCCAGTGTTTCTGTTACACAACACATGCAGATGCAGTTTGTTAACTTTTGTTTGCCACAGCAGTTTTGTACTCTAAATGCTTTTGTAGCATTGTTGAAGTCTAGTCTATGTGTGTTTTTCTTTTCTGCTGCTCCTCTGCTCTGCCAATAGACTTTGTGTTGGGAGTTGATTTGACGGAGTGATGACTCCTCTGAGTCTGTTCAGTTCAGAAAGGATGTTGTGTCTACACTTTGCTCCAATCTATTTTTTTCTCACCAACTACTGGTGGTGCTGTAGGCAAAGACAAATGCTTCCCCCCCTAGAGAAGCTATTGTTTTTTCTCCTTTATTTTTCATCTGGATAAACTAATTAACCAATAACCAAAAATATTTATAATATGCAGATACAAAACGTGAATCATGTTTTTATTCAAATTTCTAAATCTCCCAGAGCTTCCAGTGACATTATACAGTTCACAACACATACCACTAATAACATCCAACATCCAGTGATTTTAAGTAAATTCAGAAATCTGTTTGGTAATTTTGTGCATCTCTGACTTTCAGTGTTTGGCCCACACACCCACAGTACACCCACAGTTTTCACTTGTTTTTGTGATTAGACCTCCTCTCAGGAATGTGTGGGCATATGCAGACTGAGCTTGATAGACCTATTTCAAGTAAAACATTTTAGTACAAAAGTCACAAAAGCACCGATCTAAATAATAAGATTAATGATGGATGAATTATGCTTGTTTTTTTTTCACAATATGGCAGATTATTTTTAAAATTTTTAAAAAAAGCACTGCAACAATGTCGATATGTAAAACCCATTTTTATTTTGCAACAACGGAAATCACAATGATTTTTATTTATTAAATTTTTTATAAAGAACCCGTTGATTGATCCACAATTGAAAACAGGTAAATCATTTTTACCAAAATTAAATTATGGATCCATTTAGCCCTATAGATCATAAACTATAGCACTGACCTTTAACTGATGATAGGAGAATAATTTCCATATATTAACACAGTAATTACACTGAAATTGCCTCCCCGAGGCTTACACAAACTCACTTCTACATCACTAAATTAAACTTGAGTATGTGAACAGGTAGGCTTTAAGTCAACAAATGGAAAATTAAAGTGCGTATCACAAAATTAGCACAGTGATGCATCATGAAACCATGGCAACAGCTCAAGACAGTTTGAACTTGAAATAAAAATAATACTGGGATATATATGGATGAAAGATAGAGCATTTAAGTCAACATCTGAACCTTGTTGTCAGAATGCAACATGAGAGGCAGAATAAGACTATAATTACAACATTCTCATTGCTGTTCTCAATATCAGTGCTGTCGTTTTTGTTTGCAACACGACAGGCACGTGTTACAATGTGTTGTGTAGATGCGTCATACTTGCAATGTGTTTTCTGTAGGGGGTGTTTTTTTCAATCTATAATGTGGTAAGCCACATCTCAGTCACATTCTAAACAAAAAAATAACACCAAATAATTATCACATTGAAGCAGAATGGAGCACATCATGCAGACGTGACACATTATGATTACATCTTAACAGATAATAATGAAACAGATACAGAAAAACATTGGGATTTTTTATGTGAATTGTAGCCTAACTGTAACAGTTTTGTACTTTACATATGAGATTTCATCACCAAGCCTATACTTAAAAAGGAATCTAACTGAACATTACCAACAACAATGTAAGGATATTACTAATATAGGTGACCATGATGCTTTCTTGGAAACCGCTTGGTCCAAAATTAAACTATGACTCACGTCATCCGTTGTGGTAAAACCTTGGTTATTTCTTTTACTCATTGTCTAAAAATCCTGATGTTAGTCCACTTTAAAAAGTCCAACTACAATTTGCCACATTCAAATGTATTCAGAGAGAATAAGATAAATTATTATTTTCACCCATTATCATTATCATCATTCTGTGGGCCACTTTTAGCCTTAATATTAAGTATGTATATTTGTTTTTGTCCTTTTTTTTATTATCCATGTCCTACACCAGATAAGGTCCACCATGCAAAAACATGCTTTATTACTACTGAAAGGAATACAGTGTTTTCTCTTTTTGCCAAGAGGTAGATTATATCTTCTCATAGTTTGCTAACTCTTGGCAAGAAAGCAAATAAAGCATATTTACAACTATCCGTTAAAGGACTGCATTATAAAGGCAGCACTTTGTGTGTTGTACAAAAAAGAAAGAAATAACATTAAATAAATTAAATATAAAGTAAAATTTTGTTAAGTGTTTTTTTAGCATTATCAACCCTGGAGGTTGATGACAGAGGTAGGCTGTTTTTCTGTGAAAATAAAAGGCTAATCTGTCACAGAAAAATAAATAAATATATATAGTAAAAGGCTACAGGCCTACATAAAGATAAAGGCTACAGCCAAAGAGAAAAGGGGGCTATTATTATTAAGTATAAAATAAAATTCAGCTCTTTAAAATCAGAATACTAACTGAAATATTTACTATGTTGACCAGATAAGACAATGCTATGAGAGGGGCAGTATTCACTCGGAAAAAAAGGCCGGTGGTGGGAGGGGTACAAAAGTAAATCTGCACCGCCCAGGCAGCACAAAAAGTTTGGAAAGTCCTGACATCCTGAACATCGCTGAATGCAGCCACATGCTTTCCCGTGGATTATAAAAACCTGCTTTATTCAAGCAAAAGCCGTCTTATCTTAAAAGTAAGTTTTGTGATTCATAACTTTGTTTTCACTCTCCTTGGGGATGTGCGGTCTGGTTTATTTCCCTGGTAGCCTGGAGCGCAGTAATTTAACCACACTCTTTCCTCCTCGACCAGTCCGTTTTATGTCTGCTTTGAAATGCAGAGGTCAGATAACTGTAGAAAGTGCTAAATATTAGAGCTGTAAAAACAAGGAGTTATTACCATAAAAGCGGATAGTCTATCTAAGGGATCTTTTGCCTCATTAATCTCATTGTCACTGGTTTATTAATGTTATTTGTGGACTTCTTAGGTACACTTTTTTAGTAATTATGTTGCTTAGTTAAAGACGTGTTTCTCTTACTGTAAGAGGTCCGGGGAAATAACGTTTTTTGTTTCCCCTTGGAAGTGCATAAACAGTTTACACAGGCTCTTCCTTTTGCCTCTATATGAATCATATAACAAGAGCAGTCTCCTTCTTATCTGATCTCGGCATTGTGGTATTATTTAAAGAAAGCGATGCAGTAGTGTTTCCTGAAACAGTCGGGCCAGAAGTTAGTGACCACCAGATAACCCCTGGGTTCAGACCCTCATTGTGCACCAGGAAGACGGGCAGAAATATTGTGGGATTTTCTCAGGAGGAAAATCCTGTCATCCCACTGATGGAATTTAAGACATTGAAGCAACATCTAAGTGTTGAATAGGGTGTGTAAATGACCGATGCTCCTTTGTGTCCTCATTTATTTTTGCTGCTAGAAACTTCTCATAACAATCTCATAAGGTCTCTCTCATAAACTGCACTTTTAATATATATATTAACCATCAACAGTTCTGTTTGAATGTATAGTTTTTTGGCTTCAGAGAATGTGTTTGTGTTATAACCTTTCCATGACACAGTCTTGACAGAACCGAAAACAGATTTGGAATACAATACATGTTTTAGTATGAGATTGACACGCATGAGGTTGGCCGGTTGGTCACATCCTCTTTTATCAACCATAACATCTCACTGATTGCTGGTGTCTCCCCCCCCCTGACCTGTCAACCTTTGAAGACTGGAATTGTCTGCTCTTCCGCTGCCACGGTCATATGCTGCCTTCCCGCTAGACAAGGACACTTCAACCACTGCCCGAGTGCCTTCGCTCCACAGAGACTCAGACTCATCTTCAACCATCACCTCAAACACAAATCTTAGCAGAGATGGAGGGTCATGTGTTTGCCCTGCTTCTGTGCATCACTGCTGCAGCCTCTGGTAAGTCTACCAGTGGATATTCAATATAATCATCATTTAGATCTTTTTTTTTTTTTTTTTTGCTGAATCTTGCATTTATTGACAAGTGTATAACCTTAAAACAACAAACCATATGTCACTGGATTTAGTGGATTTTGAGCCTCTAGGGGATATTCCTGTCAGCCTGAAGTTCAAAGGCAGATATTAATCCTTTCCTGTCCTGTGTTTTGCAATGATTTCATTCTGTAGACATAAAATAATATTTTATGCTCTGATGTGTTTTTCTCTTGCACGCTAAATCAGGTTTTTACAACCGGTCTGTGAAGAGAGGTTATGTACAAAATTGTTGTTGTGAAGTCCTTTTGCCTGAGCAGTAGTTTATCCTTACAGCAAGATTATACAGCATGCAATATTTTATCATAACACAAGAGCTAAGTTCAAAACATATGTAACTCCAAATGGCATTCAGACTATTAAATCAGTGAGTCATCTTGGGAAGCATTTGTTTGTGTAGTCTTTCAGGTTTTAGGGATAAAAAATAATTTAGTCCACACACAAGAAACAAGAAAATCATGTGGAGCGCTCATTGATTTTATGTGACACTCCTCCGTTGGCCCCCTCAAACACACTCCCTCCACTGGCTGCCTGTGGCTGCCCATATCAAATTCAAACCTGTAATCCATACAAGGTGGCAAAGGGAGCTGAAAACCTCCCTGTGCCCTCAGGCCATAATCCAGCTTCACACTCTTACCAATGCTCTGCATTACTGCTTCGGGGTGTTTAGGTCTCACTTCCTCGCAGCAACCTGGCATTTGCAGTGACCACATGGTTTTCAATGAATAAAACAATACTAAATCATTTATTATTTGATTGTTTTTGTGCAAATATCCAAATCTACTGGTCTGCTTTAAAAAGATCAGTATCTAAAATGCAGCATGTTAGGCAGTTTTAGTTAAAAGTATAGTTTTTTCCAAATAGAAGATAGTTACAGATAGATAGCTTTAAATCTGTTAGACATTAATTGGTCTTTTTAACCCTATGAATATCGTAGTTATACTTTATAGATAAAGACAGACTGTGCCCACTATCAGAAAGTACTAAATAAAAACTCTGTTTCAAACATCTTTTTGATTGCTGAGTGTACATGTAAAGTAAACTTTCCTTCAGACTCTAAATGCCATCAGAGACAGCATGATGCACCCTGCTGTTATGAATTTTTTTTAAGATGAACTGTCAGACAAATTCGGTTGTCTGCATTCATTTTTCAAAACTGCACTTGAAGGTGAAACAGACAGTTCCGAGCCAAATACCCCTTTTCTTACTCTGTGCCTATAATCATGCATCAGAAAAATAAACTGGCATTTCCAAGAAGCTTTTTAAATAAGGCAAAATGGCCCTGGCTAGCATACATCACTGTTAAAAGAGTGTGTGCCAGAAAACCAAGCCTGTTCACTGAATCTGGCTACAGTGCTGACCTACTGTATGACAAATCACAATATTGCCACAAGTGCTAAACACCCTCTCAGCAGGGGTGCTGGTGGCAGAGATACAGAGGTATTTTTTGGCCAACTGGCAGACTTGCGGAGAGTTGACCTCATGCAGCTTGCACCGCAGGGGACCAGTCTCACTGTCTGCTGGTGGAGTCTGTAAGGAGCCGTTTCGCTCAGCCTTAATTGCCCCTGTGACACATAGTCCTGAATTTGCTATCATTTTTTTTTCTTTGTTGAAAGAGGTTCCACAGACTTTCTGTTTCTCTTCCTCTTATTTTTTGTATCTGCTACAGCAGCTTAAGGAGAATACCCAGAGGGAGCTGTGGCCCTATTCTCAGACAGCAGGGCTACTCACCCCTGACCCTGTGTACCCAATGTTGAATCATTAATCAAAACATTGGTGTGGCATGTATGAGTTCCTCCATCTCAGGCGTTGTTTATTCGTCATTATATAGTCCAGTATTGTCGTATTAATTTGTCATTTTCTCTGACGTTGTCTCTTGGGCTCAGTACTGTGGTGTCGTTGAACGAATGAAGCACAAGCATCGAGTGTGACACACTGAGGCCAGCAGTATACTCAGTGCGAAATCATATTTGCACATTTCCAGACTGAATAAGGTGCTGCAAAATAAAACAGCACCCATATATTCACTGTGATTTGAGTCCTGTTTTTTTTAATAGCATCCTCGCCAGCTGCATGCCACTGTGGGAACAGACACGATGTGAAAGTTCCTTGAAATAAGAAGTAAACACAGAAAAAGTAAATCAAAAATAGCCTGCAGTCTGCAACAAATCCCATGACACCCTTGGCCAGTTGCAGGTGTGGGTATATGGTGTTTTACTTGAGCTCAGTTTTGCTTTAGCTTTATTGAAATTTTTATATGTTTGACCTTCTGTCAGCTCCTTGATATCAGCCTTAATAAATCTTTTTGTGATGTCATGACTTGAATGCACAGAAGCTATTATGCTCACAGTTAAAGTAAGCCAAACACTCCATGGCCATATCTACTGTATAGATATCAAAATACATAATATATGATGGATCTATAACCTTGCAAAGTGATTCAGTAAAGCCACAGGATGATTTCCAGGACTAAGTCTGAGGCTCATGTACTTACTTATCCACTTCATTTCCTGAAACTGAAACTTAATTCTTCCTTGGAGCCACCCTCTGGCCTGTGTCATACATTTATTAATTTTTGGACAGATGCAGGGTGATGACTGGCTGACTAATCAAGGAATTGGTGGTAGTTTCAACACAGTCACGTTATTTGGCAATAGTTTGTCAGTAATATAATAAGTCCATGACTTTAGTTGCTCTAATGCCAACAGAAAAATCAGTACTGTAAACTTGTGCCTTTTAAACAACCTGACCAATCCTGCAAAAGTAAAAGACTTATTGGGAAATGCTGGATGGTTCAAAACCTTTTCTAGTGAAATCAGTGTAAAACTGTCTTTATGATGTTAAGCCCATCAGATACATGATCGTAAGACTCACTGAAGAACCGAGACACAACTCTTAATTTAACCCTGAAATTTGACAAAAAGATTATGTTTTCATCAGCTCTTTTTCAAACCTAGAATCGACCACCTCTGCTTTCGCCTTACACCTAGATTAATAAAATTCCATACATGTTTGGATCAGTCAAGTCTCTCTTTCTTGTTAACAGCTCATCTGTAATCTCAGGACAGGCTTCTGTCAGGCTCCAATAAAAAAGACAACATCACACTGGTCTTAGTCTCACCACACTGCCTCCCTGTGAGGTTAATTGTTTTTTAAAATGTTGCTGTTTGTTTTGAGGGCCTTACATGGTTCAGCCTACGGGTTTACTCTGAGCACCTATGGTGCCACAATTCATCTAAATCCCTTTAGTCATTTAACTGGGGGTATTTGTTTGTGCCAAGATCATACAGGCGGTGATGCCTTTGCAGTAGTGGAATTCATTCTCCCTCATGTTTGGTCATAGTCCTTCCTCTTTAATAAAACACTAAAGGATTACCTTTTCTCCTGGGCTTCTAACTGTATTGCCTTTTTTCATTTATTTGTGTGGACGTTACTCTTTTGTTAATCTCGTTTATTTCAGTCTGTTTACGTACTGCTACTAGGCAGTTGCAACACTTTCTGTGTTGTTTAAAGGCATTTAACAGATTTATTTAATTTGGCACCACATGGATGTGATAACATCTGCCTCAGACAGTGCAATGTACCTAATTTACTTCTAAATACATTTGTACATATCACTGGAAGGATTATTGCAGCGATTAAGTATTCCCCATAGTTGGGGGACAGATTAAAAAAGGAATAAAGGAAGATTCAAAATTGGAGCCGCAGAGGATGAGATATTCTGACTTTTAGTTTTTATGTTTCAAGCTCTAAAAATGCCTAACATTCCTGTAATGCAACTTGACAATGTCTTTTATAAGACCTTCTGGTAAGCACCTGTGTTTGACAAACCATGTACCCTCAGTGTATTATATACAGGCTTTCTGTTATAAATTCCAAGGTGAGCTATCCCTGATGACATCATCGTGGTTATTTTCTCAGTAAGCTGATCTTCAGGTCTAAAGTCAGTGGTTTTTAAGGGTAGAAAGGGTCTTAAATCCTAGAATCACATATGTGCATGTATTTTTCATACCTTTGCTAGGCTAATGTGCCTTAAAAGGACTTCAAGAAATGGACATTCTCTGATTTTTGTCTGTGCAAGTGCTTAGAGAGATAGCTGTATAGCACCTCCATAGGAGAAGATTTTCAAATGTTTATTTCTAGATCACTTTATAATGGCGAGCACAATAACCGCTACCACTTAAGCTGCAGCAGTTGCACACATTAACAATTATCTATGCATCTGGCTGCAGTCTTTGTATTTAGCGATTTTATCCACTGTGTGCCCGGCATTTCCTGGCAGGGAAGTAGTGTTGAATATGCCCCCTGCTGCATCAAATTTCCCAGTGGGAGCCAGGCATCATGATGTTAACTGCCAGACCTCCTGCTGCATTTCTGTCTACCCCAGAGTCTCCCTCCACGGGCTGAAGGAAAAGCACAAAAGTGATTAGCGAGCCACTGGAGGAGGAGGGGAGGGCTGTCTGAAACTGAATCTTAAAGAGGGAAAGAGAGCGAGACAGACGGACAGACAAACAGAGATAACAGAATTCATAAAGACTGATTCATGGAGACAGTAAGGGAGTGGGGGGTCAAATGTATGTGACTATCAAAGAGCAGATAAGTGGTTCAGAGGAAAGATGTGGGAAAAGAGAAGTAAATAGGGGATTAAAAAAAAACAGAAAGATAGGAAAAAGGACAAGACAGAGATAAAACTAGGGAGATATGGAGACCCAGTTAAATGATAGGTTAAAGAAAGTGAAAATCAAAGACTATAAGTAATTACACAAAAGAAAAAGAAGAAATAATCTAAACTAACAAGTAAATTCGTTAATGAGGGATTAAAAAAGTTAGAAAGAGATGACAAAGGTTTCTCGGAAGGCATGCTGTAGTAAAATAAGCAGAAGGCAAAAAAAAAGGAAAAGAAAAGA